CCTTTAAATTATTAAATGCTCCAATTGCTGGTTCATCCAGCTGTATTAATGCTTTCTTGGATGCCCTTCGTGAAACTTTCCCATTTACTCCGCTCAGATATTTTGTTAAAGGTTTGGCAATTGTGGCATAATTTCGGACAAATTTTCTGTAATACCCTGTTAGTCCTAAGAAGCTACGTAGCTCTCTGATATTTTTAGGAATTGGATAGTTTTGTATTGTGGAGATTTTGTCTGGATCTGTTTTAATGATATTTTGGGAAACAATGTATCCCAGAAATTTGGTTTCCAATTGAAAGAATTTAGACTTTTCAAGTGAAATTTTCATGTTAGCGTTTTGCAATATCTGAATTATATGAATTAGATCTTTATAATGTTGTTCTATAGTTTTTGAAAATATTATTATATCGTCCATATAAACGTGACAAGTTTTCCCAACTTGTTCTCTAAGTATATCGTCCATTGCCCTTTGGAAAATTCTGGGAGCGTTCGTCAATCCCATAGGCATTCTTAGAAATTCATATTTGCCGTTATTTATGGAAAAAGATGTTTTTTCAATATCTGATTCCCTCATTAAAATCTGATAGAAACCTGACTCTAAGTCAATGGCCGAGAAATATTTCGCTTTACCTAAATTGGCAAGGATTACTGAAGGATCTTGCATAGGGTATCTATCCGGTATAGTGTTTTCATTAAGTTTCTTAAAGTCTATTACTAATCTATGCTTAGGAGTTCCGTCCTCATTTACTCCCTTCTTTGGTACTACTATTACCGGTGAATTATATGGGCTTTTACTAGGTCTGATTATACCTTCATCTAACATTTTACTTATTTCGTTATTAACGAAATCGTTAACCGAATAAGCGTATGGATACTGCTTGCCATATACCGGTCTATCGTGTTCAGTGTTAATCTCTCCTTTTATATCCGTTCTGAACGGTAACTGTAAATTTATATTGGCATGGTCTTCTTCGATGATAGATACCATTTTCTCTCTGAGATTTTCTAAATTGTCCTCTTTGTAGGTTATTGTGTTATACAATTTCATTTTTTTCAATTCAGAATTTGCATAATTTTGAATGTCGGATATTTCTACGACGGCGCGTTCAGGATTTTTGCATCCCAAACTTTTAAATTGTTTATTGTCGGATAATTCAACGACGGCGTGTTCAGGATTCTTTAATCCCAAACTATTCGAACTTTTAGTGTCGGATAATTCAACGACGGCGTGCTCAGGATATTTTAATCCCAAACTATTAAAACTTTGGATGTCGGATAATTCAACGACGGCGGGCTCAGGATATTTGAATCCCAAACTATTGACGGATAATTCTTCGTCGGCGTGCTCAGGATTTTTTGATCCCAAGCTATATAAACTTCCTTCTACCTTTACTGAATCGCTTTTCATTTCTTTTTCTTCTTCAAAATATTTTTTTATTATATATTCCTTCAACGGAAGGATGGTTTTTCCTTCTATAAAGGTTAATTTGTTTAAAGAAAGGACCTCGTCATATATTAGTTTCTCCTCATTGTCTTTATAACTTAAAGTCCCCTTTCCTGTATCAATAACCGCTCCGATTTTCTTTAATAGGTTAAATCCTATTAGTAAATCTGCCTCCATTCCATCTATTTCATAAAACACTTGCTTTGTGTTGAAAATTGTTATATTATGGAAATATTTAATTATTGAAAACCCATTCACTGTAGCAACTTTCTTATAGATTGGTAATTCATTTTTATTGTCGTAAATTCCTTTTTTTATATAACAGGAAGTTGCTCCCGTATCTATCAAAACTTTTAATTCTCTGTTTATTTTTTTGTCTACTCTTTTTAGGTAGGGCAGACCTACTTCGGGGGCTGATCTAAAAAATGATCCTCCTCAATGTTATTTATCCTCATTGCTTTATTAGCCGGTTGTTCCGACATTTCGTTTAGTTTTCGTTTCTGCGCTGGATTGTCGTTAGACTGATTATTCGGGACTACGTTTGCCCTAAAATGCTGGGCTTGGCTATAATTGTTATTATTTCTCCTAAAATAACCGTTAGTATTCTCCCGATAATTTCTATTGTTATTATTTCCCCTGAATTGATTGCTGTTCTGTCGGTTCCGGATTTGTATAGATTCGTCTACCTCCATTGGTTCTGGGGCCTGATTTTGTTGTCTATTACCCAAGAAATAGGGTTGTCCCCAAGACATGTTATTCCTCTGCAAATCCCTTTTTTGGTCGAATGGTGAACTGTTAGTCCTAGGTTGTCGTTGGTTGAATCTTAAGGTATTAAAATTATTATTCCCTGAATTTCTGGGACCGCTGAATTGGTAGGCAAATTGGGCCCGAATGTTATTAGATTGCAATTCCTGTACCTTTGCTAAGGCATTCGGTAAATCTGGGGGATTCAATGAAAATAGGATTTCAGCAATGCCGCCGTTTAGGCCAGTGACAAAAATGCGTAAGGCATTGTCTCTAATTTTTTTATTTGATTCCTTGGTGATCTCACTGTCCTTTCCGTGAGTCATTATTGTCTTATTTATTAACAAGGTCATTTTCTTGTTAACCTCGTTATAGAAATCTATAATTGAAAGGTTCCCTTGTCGGAGAACGCTTAATTCCTGTTCTATTATGTAAATAGGTCTCTTGTCACTGTAAACAAAGTCAAGCCGTGAAAGTATGGCATCAAAATTTAGAACTGTCCCGTGGTTGGTCAGTGCGTCATGTGCTGGTCCTGTTATTTTGTTTCTCAAAATTGTTAATGCAATATAATATTGCTTACTTCCTTTCTTATATAACTTCACTGCAGTTTCTGCAGCTTCCCTCCATCCTACATATTGGTTTAATCCACCATTAAAAATTGGTAGGGATTCTATTACCTTCAATGTGGTGTCGTCTCTTATTGTCTCGTCTATTGTTTCTGCCTGATAATCCGATACCTGATCGGATTTAGTTTCTATTTGCTGTTTTAAATTTACAATTTGCTCTTGTACTTGTGAAATTTGAAGTGCTATCAATTGTTTGACCAGATCTGCTGTGAGATCGGTCCTTGCTTGAGAGTTAATCATTTTTAGTTTTTCAAAATCTAAAGTTAGCTGATCCACTTTTAATTTTTCTTATATGTTAGTTTTTATAATCTTATATATCCTAATTGAACTTATATATTTATTAATACAACTCTTGCTCACGAAATATCCGGTAGGGGTCGTCCTTCTTAGTTTGGCAGATCTTCGAACGGGTCTTCCTTCTTAAATTTCTTTGCTCAGCTGGGTCTTCTGGGGGTCTTCCTTCTTTGGCTTCGCTGATCGTTTCACTTTCTTTGTATTTTGGTTTTGTCGGTTTTGTTGGTTTTGTTTTTTTAAAAACTTTGGGTTTCTTTGGTTTTTTTTGTATTTACGAATTGCCTTGATTAGCTTTTTGTTTTATTTGTATTTTGCGTTGTATTTGTATTTGTATTTGTATTTGTATTTGTATTTGTATTTGTATTTGTTTTTGCACACCCTAAGCTCCGGTTTGTTTCCTTTTTATCTCACTTTTTTTTATCTATATCACACAGTCACTCCGCGTTTTTAATTTTGAAGGATTTATTCCATTAATTAATTGTCCTTCGGGTTTCGGCACGACGCAACACTTTTATCATTCGGTGCTTTTTAGACAACGTCGCCCCACGTTGGGCGCCAATTAAACAACTGCGGTAGCGGATTGTGTTTTTAAAAAGTTTTTATTTTACTTCGAACTTCACTGATATAGATTTAAGTAGAGGGTCACAAAGGAATTCCGGGCCAAGGGATTGCGCGATCTTAATATTTAGCTAGACTTTGCGGTGTCGCTGCTGGATCAAGACTGATTTGAACTTTCTGATCTTTGCATCGTTGATCCCTTTCGGGAATCGTTTTTCTATAAACATTTCAATTGATTTCGCCATCCCGAGTATTAGATTTCGTCATCCAAAGAGAGAACTGTAAAAGGCCTAAAGTGCAGGATCTGCAGAAAGCCGGGAGTGAGATTGTTTATGAGAAGCCGGGTGTGGGCAAACATTGGTTTTCCATTTAGGCGAGTGTCAAAGAATGGGATTGCGGCGGGGGCGCTTGAGATTGTACATCTTAGAAATCAATTAGGCGGAGGCCCAAGATTGAAATTGTTTTCGTTTTGGAAAACCAAAGATTGTTTACAACTCGTATAAGAGCTCAATGGAATTGGGTACGTTAACTTGCACATAAGCATGTACATACTCGTGGGTATGTATCAAGATTGAAATTATGGTGTTGCAGGGTCCCTGCTTGCCCCAAGTCCCATTATTATTCTATCGTTTCTTTACATTGTTCTTGACGTATTTTATTGTTACTTATCGTGAGCCGAAGTATGCAAATGGGTCGGGTGGAGCCGGGTAGCGGGAGGCAGGGGCTCCTCCGAAAATGTACCAGTTACAATAGTTAACGACATGAACACTACTCGTACTAATTTTTTTATTGAGAACCACCCTCACCCACACCCATACCCACTTAACTTAAATGATTCTGATTCTGATTCGGTAGGTTCGGGTGAGATAGGGTTGTGTTGGGGCTGGGCTTGGGTTTGAGTGGGTGGCGCTGGGGCATTGGGCATTGGGTTGGAGTCGCGTCCTCGCTCATCATTTTATTCCATTTTACTTCGATGTCAAACAAACGGCAACAAATCGCGACCTGACGTGATAACAAATAACCGCAAACGTTGTTGCTAACAGAATGGTTCTTGTTCAATAAATGTACATAATTTAAAGCACCCAAACCGAGCCGAACCTAACCAACCCCTCCATTCCCTTCATCTCCTCCTTCGCTTCCCGCTCAGTCGCTCCTAATAACAATGGCAGACTCATCAATGTCAATTCCCGTAGTTCGCTTTGTTGGCTCCGGCGGGCCAGTTCGATTTGCGGCACGGGTTAACTTATTCCTTTGTCCCGTTGTCCCTGTCCCTGTCGTTGGGCCCTGTCTGCAGAGCTGTCAATTTCGCGGTATCTCGCAGCCTCGCAGCCTCTCAGCCATGTCCATGGCGACAGCTCAGGGGACATCTTGTGCCATGGCTGTCGTGGGTGTTCCGCTTCGCACCGGCAACAAGTACCCGCCCCGGCTGACCATGCGACGCGTCTTCAATACGAAGTGCTTTCGCACGGAGCGCTACCGTCATGAGATCGCCAACCACTACCGCGACTACCAGATACAGCAGCACCTCAATCTCCATCAGAAGCATCCGCTGGCCCACCGCCACCGCCACCAAAGGAGGCGTCGCCGACTGGGACTGGCAGCGGAGGCATCTAGAATGTCCTCCTCATTAGCACCAACGTATGCGCAGCTGCGCGATGTGTGGCCCACCCCTGTGCAGTACTTTCCAAGGTACCTCCCGCCGTAATTTGATTGCATCCATGTTTTGTGGGTGCTTTGTGTGCATGTGCATGGGTATGGGTATGTGTATGTGTGTGTGTATGGTAGGGTGGTGTAGGTTGGATATCTGTTTGACAGTTGCGGCCATAAATATAGGTTGGCTTGACAGGGGTACGGAGTGGGGAGCGTAGAGCTTAAGCTTGCGGGCTGAGTATGGCGGATATCTGGTTGATAGCTTTTGTGTTTCATGTGGAATTTCTGCCGCATCGTCACAGCTCCAGTTACGCAGCCTTGCCAGGGCTTCCAACAGATGACGTGCGAGTTTTGTAAATTGTACGGGCTTTAACTTTATTATATAGGAGAGCAATTGAATGCCTTATATTTGGGGATTCTGTGGACACTGATCGCAATAACTGGCTGCCTGACTACTATTTGGGGGTGAGTTTGGTAAAGAGAGAGATATCTTGTCTAAGGGGCACACAGGGCTCTCCTGAAGTTCTCAAGACAATGAAGTTGCTGGGGGCATACCCGCACATTCGTCTTTAATTATATTACGCGTCGCGGTTCCGAGCGAGCATGGGCTCGGGACGTGGTTGTTTGCTGGCTTGTTTGTCGTACGTGTTTGCTTTTGCCATTGTAATTAATGCTTTGTTTGGTTGCCCTTTCTACATATCTAAATTTGTTCATCTATTTTTGTTGTGGTGCTTCCACTAATTACAGATTCGACGATACGTATGCAGCCCGTGGACGGCTAACAATTTGCTCAGGTGAGCCGCCCGATGAGACCTACAACGACGCAGTGCGCCGAATAAAGAGTTCCCAAAGCGTCGACCAGCTAAAGAAGCTTGTCCAATGCCAGTTGGCCTGACAGCGCGCCCTATGGATCAGCAGCAGTGGGCAGCGACGTCGGCGCAAGACATCGAACCGCAATGATGACAACGTCAGCGGGGAAGACGACGAAGACAGCCACGGCAACGGCAACGGCAACAGCAAGGGCACTGGCAGAAGCAGAAGCAGCGACCGAGAAGGCAGCCATGTCAATTATAATCTAAATATTTCTAATAACCAGGTGGAAAACCTACAACGACAACCCCACAGAGAGAGAGTCGACTACTACACGTATTTGCAACTGGCCAGCGGATATTACGAGCGAGGGTTGCACGCCAACATCAAGTACTTGGAATCGATTGGCCAGCGTAATGCAATAAGGCGCACGTCGCAGTTGCAAACGCCGTCATCTTTGGACCCAGTAGACCGTTCGGGGGAGCGACAAGCGGCGGATCAGAAGTTGAACGCCAGATTGGTCACGCTACTGAAGGGATTGCGGCGCAAGGCAGCCAGTAGCTCGAAGAAGCGAGGGAAAAGTTGTCCGGCAGATCCCATCAGCGTGCATATAAGGCCCTTAAAACTAGCGGCAGACGAGTCGCAGGTTGGCGAAGCGGGAGCCGGTGATCACAGGTCGGAAATAACAAATGCAGTAGGGCCGGCGTCCAGGATTATGTGTGATTTGTATGTCCAGCAGCATCATTCAAAGATCAACAAGCAGGGGAGTACAGCGGAGCTATCGGCAACGACGTTCGATCAGCTGAAAATATACGAGATCATCGATAACCTGAGCCATCTCAGCTTGAGCGATAGTATCGATACTCCGCACCTGCCGCAAATCACGCTTACCGACTGCACCCATCAGGTGGCGCTGTACAGCGCGAGTTTTGATATTGCCGCAAACCAATCAATTGCAGATACCCAACGAAGCCAGACCACCAACATAGCCAGAGCAAACTAGACACAAATACTCGATTGCATTAAATTGGAAACAAGCTAAACAGATACGATACTTAACTAACAATAGAAAAAAGGTGGGCCGGGCAAACAATCCACACAAACTCATTAAAATCAAACGGAGCGAGGGCGAGGGCGAGACGATTGTACCACACAAAGCCAAACCGCACAGCGCGTACGTCAGCGGAAATAGTTTATATGCAAACGACAAACAATCAACAACAAGCAGCAAACGGATTTGGGAAGCGTAACTGCGTCTTGTCCGAAGCTCGCGCTCGAACAATGGTTGTTGCTGTTGTTGCCGTCGACGTCTTTGAAAAGAGCAGCAGCAGCGGCAGCAGCGTTGAATCTGCAGAGTTAGCGGCACCCAGCTGTAGCGGTACACAAGCATCGGCCTCCAATAACAATAATACTGATAAGACCGCTCCAACGACTGTTCAGGAGGCAGAGGCCAACAACAACACGCCTGTCACCTCTAACACGAGCGACAAAATGACCGATGCTGGCAAGGGGAAGAGCAGCGATTCTGTCGGCGATTCTACCAAAGCGGTAGAGCCGGCCGATCCCGCATTGCCGACAGCTCCCACAAAAAGCGCCGTTAGCCAGCGCAATGTGGACATCAAGATCGAGAAGATAGCTAACACGGAGCCGGCCGGCCAGCAGCTCACCAAGAAGGTGTTAAAGCTTGATCTGGGCGGCAAGAGTCTGGACGAGTACTCGCTTAAGTCGCCCAAGTCACCCATAGCGGGTTAGTATTCATACATAATATACAATATACACACACATACAATGTACACGTCCCACACCCTGCTTCAAAATTGAGCTTAATGCACATAAATTAGTTTGGGCTAGCATTTGGGTTGATATTAGGAGTGTTAGAGAACCTCCATTGAAGATTATTCTTGATCCGAATCGGCTATGCAATGGGAGACATTCTTATAAGGAATTCATCCATCGAGTCGAATGAAACTGGGTCAAGATCCTCTTTTAGTTCTGTTTTATTAATTTGAATATAGTTTTTTTTACTTACGCCAGAGATTACAGTGCCGGAAGATTAATACTCCTATTTTGAATGCCCACGTCATCAACGAACTTCCCTTATCATTTATTAGTCGGATTAATTTTTATGTATTCGCAGCACGTGTGCAACATCAAACATCATTGACGTCATCGGTGGACGTGGAGGACCGGAAAACGCTACGTGACGCCTTATATCAGGGTATTTTCCACCGACATCGCCGCACCATCTTCGCCGTGGGCAGCTTCCTGCGCATGTTGCGCAGCCGCAACTCCCAGTACAACACGATCCGCAGCTCCTCAGAGGGCGAGGACATCGACGAGGTTAGATAAGACAGACATCCATGTGTACATACTTGTACCCATGTATGCACGCACATTTCGCACACATCTTATGGGCCATGGACAGAAACATCTACCGAAGTAGCCGCAGAAGTAATAGACCGAACAAGGACGAAAGTCGGAATCGTCCAGGACAGTGCCCAGCCAAGCTAAATGTCGTACCTTGCTGCTTGAGTCGAACTTGAATAGGAAATTGAGCCCCGCGTACTTATTTATTATCCCATGTAACATGCGTATGCAAAAGTTGTGTATTATTAACTGCTTTTTGTACAGTTTTCATTGTCATCGTTATACCGTTATATCGTTATTCTGTTATACCGTTATTCCGTTACTGCGCCATGCCCAAGATCAAAGCAACCACAAGACTAGCCACCTGTTGTGCTAGTTCTGTATGTAGTGCACCTCTGACCTAGTAACAGACCTAGTGGCAGAGTTCTTTTCTCGGATTGCGCTCGGACGGAAAAAACAAGCAACAAGAAAGCAACAAAGACATTGCCCTCCGCGGTCTGAGACAAGCACCCAAGTGCTGCATCACCTAATTCACTCTCTGAGAAGACGCCTTATATGTATAAACTGTTGCGGCAGCTCTACGACCCCTTAAGCTAAACTAAATGTGAACCCAAGCTGAACTTGAAATACTATCGCAACATTCTTACATACATATATAATATGCATATACATATGTCTAAAACGTAAACGAAAACGAAAAAAAAAACAAAACTTTATTGTATTAAGCTCGCATTGTTTTTTTTGTGCCCGCCAGTGCCAGTCGTCATTCAGTGCATTCTTGTGTATTTAGCAAGCTGATCTGACTAAATATGTATGTACATGAGTATGTATGTGTGTATGTATGTATGTTCGTTCTGTCCGACCGTCTGTCTGTCTGCTTGTGTCTCCAGCTATATGTTTCTGATGTAGGAGATGGAGATGCCAAAGCCTAACATTCATTGTTCGAAACGGACCATCCTTTTTCCAGTTGCCAACAGGAAAGGCAGTACACTATATACGTACGTATGAAGGCAGTATGATACAGATAGATACATGTGTAAATGTGTATGTGGGTCCTTTGTGCATTCCTTGGGAAATTGGCTTGTATTGGCCTCTCCTCCCCACTCGTCATCATTTCAATAGATATTTAAACTAGAAATCTTCTGCTTAGAAGAGTGCACAAATATTCAAATATGTATACACAAAATAAATGGTCATTCTACTTGACCATGGCATTTTTATAAAAATTCTCTTTTTCGTGTATGAGTCATTGAGATCTAGCTAGAATTTGTTTTTCATTACAAAGGGAACAAAATTTATAAAGAAACATGTCGAGGAAATGTTTTTAAATGATATATTGCGTATAGGAATAATATATATGTGTATGTGTAGCTACTATATGGTATATATACATACATGGTCTAGTTATAGAACACGAAATTCAACACAATAATTGTTTCTCCCCAAGATAAATGTTATATGTAATTAACATTGATTTGCGGTCCCATACCCACACATAAAGACACACTATAGTATATACATATATTTTAGAGCAATTTTTTGTTAACGGTAGCTTGCATATAGAGCTAAACCTGAATGGATAGTAATTACTTAACATAATAAGATATTTTGTACAGCCAAAACGGTTTTAGACAGAATTGAAAACGTCTTACGGCACACAAAAGACAACGTAGTTTCAAGAACTGTTCGAACTGTAGTAATTTCGTACGACATTCTAATACATCCGATGCTATTCCTTTGATTTGACTCGATTGAAAACAACAATAAAACCATACATAAACCATAACAAATTCCAGTTAGTGCTTGCATTTTGATCAACAACCATTCCTAAACATTGATGATCTCAATCCCAATCCTTTCAGTTTCTCAAGAGGCGCAGCTCGAAGTTGCTCAGGCTTCCGCATATCTTCGATCAATGAGTGCTTGCTTTCTTGCGTGCCGGAAATACTAGGTATACAGTTTTCGATATCCACATAGTACTTAACTTTAAATATTGTTATTATCATTCGAGTAATAAATTAAAGTTCTGTCGAAAGGCCTAGCCCATTGTGGGCCAGAGGCTAAATATGCCCCAATTTGGCAGCGCTAGATTCCATGGCTGGGACAACGGTGTTGGTGCAAATGGCACTGGCATTGGCCATATGCTGCCTACTGGCGTCTGAAGCTCCTGAGGAGGGGAAGAAAGTATGTTAATATATAGACTACAAAGTTCTCCAATCACGGTGCGTTGCTTAACCATGACACTTAATAGTTTTAGTTTCAGCGATCGCTCTTTCTTATGCAAATATTCCTAAGAAGTAAGGCTAAATATGTATATCCATTATTCGATTTTGTAATATGTTTTCTCTAGTTATGAGCCATTATATTCTATCTGTACTATTATTCCGATCGTCACTATAGCCAATCGCTATACATGCATATGTGGCCTTTTGAATTTGAATTTGGCACCAAACATATGTATGTACCACATGCACACAAAAGCGATTGCTTGCGAACTTACAGCTTTCGACTTCCAGATATTCACAGAAATCGAAAATTGTTAAATTCATTTCCACATAGTACCTAACTTTAAGAGTAACAGGTATAGAAAGATTGATTAAACACTTGATAATTGTCAATCGGAAAGGTCTCTTCAATAGTATTTTCCAACTCTAAGTCTTAGCAATGGTCTCTACTTACCGGCGGTGGACTGGCAGCTACCACATAGGTGTCCTCTGCGACGGCCTTTTGTATTGTTGTGCGTATGGCAGCCGTTTCCCGCAGATTTTGCGGCGTTACTACCACCTTGGAGGCATTCAAGGCGGGCAGAACAAAAGGATCCCTTAGCCAGGTCGGTGCAATTACCTGACGACGCAGACGGTAAGCAGCGCCTACCGACAAGCCAGCAGCCAGCAGCAAAATTGAGAGCTGCCACCGCATACTGTTGCCCGTTTCGGATACAAATACACATTGAAAGCTGACGTTGGAGCGAGTAGATGCTTCGAGTCGTGAAGTTGAGTTTTTGCTGGTGCTGGAATTTCTCTCATTGACCTCCTCTTGTTGGTGTCGCTTCTGATTGGCCGATTTCCATTTCGTTATTTTGGGTAGGTAAAGTTAAGAGAATTTTTGTTTGGAATTTTATTTACGAGTATGTTGGCAGTGGGCACGCAAAACCATTTTATGTAAATGTATACTGATCTCAGCCAAGGTGCGGTAAATAAAAATTGTACATAAAGAAAGGGTCAAATGAAACACATGCCGTGTTACTGCCCCGCCCCCCGACGATTGCAAAGGCGAGACAGGAGCCCGGCTGCGCACAGCCTGCTCTAGGCATTTACTTCCTCGGCTGGTACATCCACACGCTCTTCCTTGATATGCACGTCATCATCCTCCTGGTCCTCTTTGCTATTTTCGTGAAGCAGAACGTACTCGCGCGAGCTAAAGCCAAACTTGATGACATCCTTCTCCATCAGTTCGTAGTACTTGCGGCCATCGACTTTCTTGTTGTTCAGGAACGTTCCGTTGGCCGATTCCAGGTCGATGAGGTAGAGACGCACACGCTTTCCCTGGCTGCCGTCATCGCGCTCAAAGGGCACGAGCCGGTATTGCAGGGCGGCATGCTGCTTGGAGCAGCTTGGATGATCTACCGCCAGGTCGACCACCTTGCGGTCGCGGCCCACGAGGAAACAGCTTTGGCGATGTATGTGTAGAGTAGGCAGTGCTGTTTCGCCCTTGAACGGGTACAGGCGCCAGCGACGCTTCGGCTTGCGAGCCTCGACCGGCTCCGAGTATTTGACAACAACTCCATTAACTTTGTTAGTGTCCTCGGTGAGGGCTCCGCTTAGCCCGAAGTTGGGCTTCTCCTTTTCGACAGGCTCTTCATCCGGCGGCGCCTTGTCATCGCCCTTCCTGCCCCACTCGAAGTGTTCGTCGTCTCCTCTGCTACGATTGTCGCGGCGCTGTTGTTTACGACGCCCAAAGTCGCGTCCGTCTCTGTTTGGTCGATCGCGGGGACTGCGGCTACGACTGCGCCTGGAAAGAAATGCGAAATTAGTCAAGGGGCGCCTCGGTGGATGGTAAATCTGTACTTGCCGCTCTGGACGCCTTTCGGGGGAACGCCGCGGTCGCTCCTTCCGTTCATTGCTGCGTGCTCGTTGTCGTTGCACAGGTGAACGCTGTCTTTGTTCCCGTCGACTGCGATCGCGGCGTGTAGGATTGTCCCGGTCGCTGTCTCGGTGGCGTTCTTTTTCTGTCTCGCGCTCCCTTTCCCGTTCTCGCGAGTAGCTACGACTGTGTCTGCGTTGTTTTGTGTTTCTATGGGAATTGTGACGTTGGCCGCCGTTGCCACGGTCGGGACTGTCCCACTTCGAGCGTTGCTCTTGCACCTTCTGGCTGGTTTCCTCAGACTGCTTTTCTAAATTTCTGGTCCGCTTTTCCTGTATTTCTTCAGCGCCTTCTGTGTTGCGATTCTTTTTTTTACTGCGCTTCTGCTTTTTGCCCGCCGAGGAGTTCGATAAGTCGTTGTTGCTGCTACTCCTGCTGCTGGAAGATGAACTCGAACTGTACCGTGATTCCCTTTGCTTGCTTTTCTTGAGGTTAGGCGCATTCTTTTCGTCCATTTTTTGGTCCTCGTCGCTACTCCCGGAATTTTCTTTTTGGTCGCCGGGCGTACCGCGTCTCTTGCCCATTGCTATTGTTTATTAAAGTCACGAATATTAACAAAAAACACAAACTAAATGGCTTTGAAATAGGTTAGGGATGGCATATCGGCTGCTTCAACAGCTGTTTGGCTGATCGATATCCGTTCAAATCGGCTAGAGCGAATGTGAGTTACATCTCTAGGTCTGTCCAGTCAATTTGAAGATGCACGATACGTTTAATCGATACTAATCGATACAGTACAAAAGTACAACATCGCGCCATGTTCATCTCAATGCGTTGGGTAGCAGACTAGAATAACTACGATTTAGAAATTAGGAAAAATAATATCTAATTATGGTGATTATGATCTTAGTTAGTATATAGTCTGAAAGCATGTTGTTTTCTGTCGCGTTACGCCATTTGTAAGTTCAAACAGAATTAGCCGCAGAAGCAGTCGCTGTTACTGTCGGCCGAACGTCGCACCCAAACCCAAACAAAGTGAAAACTGATTTACTCCGCTTCACAATGACACCATTCGATGATTTTGTTTATTTAATTAATCATGTGCTACTAGGCGAAGAGCCGGTAAGTAAGACCTACATTAAAGCATGCACACATTCGTACGGCTGTATGTGTGCATGTGCATATGTACGTGAGACTGAAATCGTACATTGATTTTGTCCATGTGTAGACCATTGAGGACTTCATATTGCTTGTGGGTACATTAGTAGCATTCATAGCTTTCATACTCTGGTGCTGCTTTCCCATTCAGCCAAAGGTAAGTGATTAATCCGAAAAAAACCCAAGTCTACCATCTAAAGTTTTCTTACTTCCACAGGAGCCGGGACCTCATCGCCAGTTCACATGCAAAATCATACAGAATCCAATAAAAGCTTTTGATGCGGCCACCAGCACCGACGACAACAATGCTGCCAATGCAGCACCATTCCCTTCACCGTATAGCACTGGAGCCAAAAGCGGCCTCGGTGCAAAAGGCAATACCGGCGCCGATGCCGGCCTGACCAGCAGCATGTACAACGGAAGCAACGGCAGCTATAGCAAGAACGGCACTGTAGCCATGCACAATTATTACGTTAAAAACGGACACCATTGCTGCACCTAGTGGCCAGCCTAAAGTTGGCATTCACGATTTCGCAGACCTGAGGCTGGGAGATGCTGCTTATTAGCTTAGCGTTCTGTTACCTAATCAGTTCTTTGTATGCACAATGATCAGTGCATCACCGTCGTCGTTATAGGAATAATGCCTGTGAATATTGATTGTAATTTGTGCCAATTGGTTCGACAGGTTGTTAGGAAGCAGCTTTAAGCTGCCGGTTCGCATTCGCAAGCACATTTGAATTGTAATTGCTCAGACTGATTTGTTTAAAAAAACAGGACAAGACAAGGAAAGGCAGACGGCATGCAAACCACCTTGCATGCCCTGCCTATGGTAGGGAAGATTGGCAAATGTTACATATGTGGCAAGTTTCTAAAACTTCCTTGATATCTATATATATATATATGTGTATATGTGTATATGTGTATATGTACATGTGTTGCATTTGTGGAAATACCAAATTAATATACATATGTGTGTATATGAAATCCAAGTATCTAGTTCTAAGTATTTGTGTATTATACAACAAACAAGCATATATTGTGACCACGTTCGCTTAGCCCAACCCCAAATCTCCAAGACATTTGCCAACCCAAAGTGGAAAGCAACAAAATTCTTAAAATAAATTACCATTTTGTTTCGCTGAAGGAAGAACACAGAAGCCCCTTCTAGCGGGAAACACCTATATAAATAAATATATAAATATCTTTAAGATGGATTATATGAACACCACACCCGGAAACCTTACAAAATATCTAGCATTAAATATTTCCCCGAAATCGCGTTTATTTCCTCTGTATTTCCATGTATATATGTACATGCATTCGAATTCGTATTTGTGTTTATGTACACATAAGTATGGCCTATCTTTGTAAACCGCAAAATATTTGATCTCATTTATATACTTATTTATTTGTGATTTGTGATGTAACTGTTAGAAAATTCCAACGCCCCTCTACCACGAGGGGGGGCTGTAAATCCCTAGATCCCTCTAACAAGAAACGAATACGAAAACCTATCAAAGCTGTTGTTTTATTTCCTTTTTATTCATGGTAACAGCAACCCAAGCCGCAACCCAATACGCATATTTGAAATGAAAGTCATGTTTTGTAAAATTGTTCTTAGAATTTATTTATAAATTAATAACAGTGCTATCAAGGGCGTTGGGTAACGCTAACAATAGTTACTAGTGTATAAACACACACATCAACGCAATATCAACAGAAGTATGAAAGAGCGGCTCCGGGGAGCAGCCCTGGTCCGAATGGAGAATCGTCGAGCTGCAGACTGGAAATATCGTGGGGCACTTGGTCAAAAGACCATCTAGATTTGTATGTGGCTATAACATTTGGTTTGATTGGTTTCGAGGGTTTCCCTTCACTTCGCTTAATTCCTAGTATCTCGTTTGGGGCTTTGGTAACAGTTGAAACATTTGTGAATCGTCGTCGTTATTTGCCTACAACTATGGGACTACACACAAAAACATATTTACATAAATACATACATATATACACTGGCGAATAAATAGAAAATTGCAGAGCTTATTCCTTTTCATTTCTTTCTGTTGAAGCTCTCCTGCTGCACTCGTTTTTTAACCCTAAAGACAGTCTTAAGCAAAAATTAATGCATGTAACAGAAAACAAGAAATCAACGAACTCGGAACAAAAAAAAAAATTACTGCTGATGCCAGCACCAGGAGCACGTGCCACAGACGCCCTACCCTACCGCCACTAGCTACTGCAGTCCCTGGGGAAGAACACATTCATCTCAATAAGAATCTGAAGAACGATAAACACTCCGTAGACGGTGAAGAGAGCGATGCCCACCCGCTTGGTCAAGCGGTAGCCACTGAAGCTGAGTATTATGAAGAGGGCCACCGTTGAAATGATTAGTATCAGGATATTGTACTCGATGCCCTGTGTGCCGACCTGTTGCGGCTCCCCACTTCCATAGTTTAGGCAGTTCTTGATGAACCAGGGCACGCCAAGAGAAAGCAGGATAGCCAGCGAGTTGGCACCCAGCGAGTTCGAGACTCCGATTCCGCTTTCACCTGTTAACGACAGTGCATAAAGTCAGATCAGTATTCGAACTGGGATCGGAATCAAGGCTCGTTCCGCTTACCGTTCCTCAGGGATATCAGACTGGAGACGGCCTCGGGCATGGTGGAGCCGGCAGCCAGGAAAGTGAGACCCATTACTATTGTTGGCACATGGATGGCCACTCCGAAAGCCGTCAGCATCCAGACAATCAGGTAGGCATTGCCCCCGATGCAGAGGATGCACATGATGAAGGACAGTGGGTAGAGGCGGCGGTGCTTCATCGGATGCGGGATCAGCCAAGAGAGGGTGAACTTAATCGGGAAAACGAAGATCCACCAGCTCTTCATGAAGCGCGAGGCGTCGTGAGGATAGGCGTAGATGCTTTTTGGCATATCGTCTTCATCGCTGTCATCGCCGTTCCCTGTGATAAAGTGATAAAGTGATAAAGGGATGATGAGAAACAGTTGGCATGGAGCGGGGGATAGTGCTTACAATGCTTGGAGTGGGTCAGATTGGCGGTGGAGGACATCGACGAGGTGTTCTCTGGCAAGTTTACCACGAACAGGCCATCGCCCGTCAGGGGATCCTTCTTCAGCGGAAGCTGTGCCTTGGCGCTGTTCTCCGGAGGTTCCGTTAGATCTACAAGGCATCCAGGATCAGAATGGGGCAGGTTCATGCACATAGGACTAAGTGGACTCACCGTAACGCGTGGAGAAGCAGCAGTTCATGCGATCCTCGATGAATACGCGAATGGCTGGCATGAACTTGTTGTTGTTGAAGGTGATCAGATAGTAGAGCACTAGGAAGCCCATCATAATGCAGGACTCGACGAAGCTAATGCTGCCGCCCCAGGCCAGTACCAGCAGGATTATCGTGTTGAATATGTAGATGAAGCAGTCCCTCGCTATTGGCCACCAGTCCAGCTGAACCGGCTGCCAATCAAAAGATTGAATTTTTGTTTTTGAATTTTGTAGACGTGCAAGTGTCTTCTGTGAAAACATTGAGAGGAGTACATACCTTGTCAATGGACAGCGCCGCCAGGCCCGCCACGCCCAAGGTGTTGAACATGAGCGAGCCGATGATCGTACCCAGACCCATGTCCGACTCCAGGATCAGGGTGCTGATAGTGTTGGTGAAGAACTCGGGCATCGATGTGGCCGTGGCCATAAAGGTGGCCGCCGCCACGTCCTTGGACAGGTGCAGGTCCTCGCAGATGCACTCCACCGTGGGCAGGAAGTAGTCGTTGCATATTATGGCCAGCAGTATAAAGAAGTATACCGCAGCAAAGACATGAAGCACCACCCAGCCCTGTCGAAGCTGTTCCACTGCAAGACCCAAGAAAGTTATAAACGTACATGCATTCATGTATGTTAGGGAATGCCCCACAAGTAGGCAACACTTTCGTTGCTTTCGAGCCATTCGTGGAGAACCGGTTTCCCACAAACAGAACTACATATACCATACCGGAAGAACGGCATCTATCAGTGTCATTTCCAAAAGACATACCTCCGAATAGGTATTAGTAGATATTTACAGGCAGAAACATTAGAAATCTAATCGCTGTGCTTACTAAAATCTAGACACCTTACATTCACCAGAAGAGCTATCTGAATCTAAGTTGTAAGTATTCTGTAGTGCTTGGAACAGTTCAAGCTTGTGCGCGATAAGAGCGCCTACCCAGAGTGTTCCGCACGAATAGACAGTCTTATGTGCCCGTCTGGTACGCTTTGAGTGCAACTACTACATATAGTATACACACACGTAGAGGGTACGAGTATAAACAGAAGTTCATGGCTTGCCTGATTTGATTCCCATTGAATCGTCCGTTATCGGGGGAGCCTGCTGATAATATGGAGTGTGAAGCAAGAAAGGCCGAAGAGTCTGGACACCGGACGCCCCACACTGACAAGTTCAAGTCTATCCAAAGTAGTTTTAATGCACATTCCGCTCTATGATTTGGATTGGGTGCCCCGAGAGACCGATAATGCCCGAGGGAAATTATAGCTTCGGATAATACTTGATCGTGGTTATCTACAGACTTTGAATTGTGCCGACAGTCCGACAGTCCGACTGTCCACATCGAAAACTTACCTGTAAAGAGGTCAGAAAACTCATCCATCGGTGAGGTCTCATCGTCGCCCGGGCACGAGGCACGTGGCAGTATGTCGTAGAGCAGCTGCTCATCAAAGTATCTCAGGGATGCCTCCAGAAAGTTGCTCTCATTGCCGGCTGCAAAAAAAAGAACAGCCCAAAAACAGAATTAATCGTTTAGTCAGCCACTCTGATATGCACATCGGCCCTGATTCTTCCAAGCTAATGGAAAATACTCAACACGATAAGATTAAGCAAGAAAATAATAGAAAAACAAAAACCAACTATCCAACGTCTGACTGACAAAAGCGCAATCCAAGTCGTCAGAAAAACCCGAACTTAAACCGACTATCAATATAATGTGACCAAATAAGAGCTCTTTCTTAAGGAGCTAGGGGGCACCCTTCAAAAGAGGTATGTATTTCTCAAACTCCACTCAAAATTAATTGAGACTTTCAAGTCAATTACATTCAGTCAGTATATATTTAAGTTTATGTGACGATGATTGTATAAGAATAATGGTATTTTATTTCTTTTGAAGAATCTCTGTACTGTGTAACTTAAGGGAGAGACAAATGCAGATTAAGATCTGATTCTACACATGACAGCCATTTTATTCGTAGATCCAGTCCTTGGCAGCTAGAGCCCAGGTGACCAGCTCCTTCTCGTTGAACCAAAGGGTGATCTCCTTCTCGGCAGACTCGACAGCATCGGATGCAGAAGTCACCGCGAATGGTACCGGGCAAGGAATCGGCTGGGTTGATGCCAAAATAAATTTGTATAAAGGTCGGTCGAACCGTTTGAGGGATTTGTATGTATAAGACTTTCCATTTACATTTTTCTTTATATTATCCCACCAACACCAGCCGTTTTATATCGCTCCGCCAGAGCGCGCACACTGCACGAGGAAGAGTGCGTGGGAGAGAGATTTCTGTAGCTGTTTTTGTGTTTTGCCATGTAGAACAGATGACACATTAAAAGGTATGTTAAATTGGCCGAGGATGGAACTTGCTCTATTGAAGAGAGGTTTGTTGATTTCATTGAAAGAAAACAAAAAACTGCCGAAGGTTTGGCAGGAGAAACAAATTAGACAAGCAAAGGGGACATCTTTTAATAAGGTGCTGCAGAGCTATTATAACGGAAGTGATGGTATGGTAGTATGATAGTAAATTTTGCAGTAAATCAACCAACCCCATCTTTCTAGTTTTTCCACATTTAAAATCCAATACCAAGGTGTCAAATCAAGTATTGCTTATTGTATTTTAAAAGGGGGTTGATTTACTAAAAAATTCCTTCAAAAATGCATTCTTTGGACAATTTTGATGAGTGGTACCCATGTACTTGCGGCATTACTTGAACAATTTTAATGATTAGTAGCTGTTTTTGTTGGGAAATAATGGCACTAAAGACTTAAAGTCTTACAATAAGACCGTGCCATACAAAAAATGAAGAAACATAACATTTTAGCAAACTTCAACTTTCGTTCGATATATCTTCAGGTTCAGCCATTGTATCGACACGGCTAAAATTCCTATGAAAGGCCATTAATTGCTTTGAAAGTTCTCAACGTCACAAAGTAGCAATTTTTGCCTCGTGCTCAGTGGATTTTTTTTTCAAATTGTATCCTGCTTAAATTACATATAATTTCAAAAAGTAATAAATATCTATTTTATTGAAGCGAAAGGGAGCGTTGGATAGGATTTCGAAGTTTACGATGTTCTTAATTTATTGCCAATTTAAATAGAACCAATAAAACTTTGAGGTGTAAATAAATAAATCTTAGCCTTGTAGCTTATTTATTTTCGGTGTGGAACTAGCTTAGGTGTGTGACTAGCTTGTACCAAAAAACTCTATACAATAATCTGGTCCTTGTAGTATAGTCTTTGCTTATATGGACTGTGAAATTCTGGCACTATTAACTCAAATAAATTCAATTCGAATGCGTTCTCTTGGACTTATGTTTTGAATGGAACCATGCAGATCTCTAGTGCATGTATCCCTACACTCTTAGTCTCCTTCTTCTTGGATGATATGGCACTCAATGGAGCTACATTTGTACATAAATACTGGCAGTCATCTTGTACTATTGCTTTCATTCGTCACGCATTTCCAAAGTATAATGCTCTGTACTATTATGGTTTCATTATACATAATTCCTTATTCCCACGAAATAGTATAACCAAAAACCCCAAGAAAAACAGAAATATTCCATTCATACTCGAATTCGTGGTCAGATAACCCTTTATAATTGCGTCTTCCAGCTAAGATACCACCACGCCCGCCCCCGCCCCCGCCCCCGACCCCATCGCTGCCCCCACCAGTCGTCGCCAGGGGCAATATTGGTTGTGATTGGCATTTCGATTGGAGTTTTACAGCATTGTTATTGCCATACGTATTGTGCATTTTGGCGTCGCATAGCGGGAAGCGGCCGTTGAATCGACGGTCCAAAATAAATGGGACAGTCATGGAGGCGTCTCGGTCGTTTTTCACATGTTTGTTTTGATTTTGCTTCGTGTAAGTACGGCTATACCCTTGAAGAGAGTCGTACGATTTAGGCAAAGCACGAAACCCACAATCTCCGCCCACATACATACATATGTACATGCACACATACATATGTACACATGCTCTTGATTAGCACTGACATTGGAATCGATAGAGCCATAGGCCATAGCCATAGCTTGATCCGATAGTTTTTGATCCGATGATAGGATTGATGATCCATTGGCATAGGAAACCATTGAAAACCGCTCTGAAAGGGTATTCAAAGGTTCGGTACCGTGCTGGACGTGTCTCTTTATAATCTCTTTCATTGACACGGGGACACGGTGATTATTTTATCTAGTCAGATTTACCAAGAAATTAAGCGACGCTGGTGCACTGCTGGGCGGGGGCCGGAGGGGGGGGCTGTTTCTGGGACCTTGTCTGAGGTTTCTGTGTGTGTGTGTGTGTGTGTGTGTGTGTGTAGGGGGGACAGTTAACGGTTATCAGCACTCTCCCGTTTACACCCTCCCATAAAGCAGCCCATTAATTACTATTGGCTTTTACGATTCGTTTCTTTTCGTTTCCATATTGTTAACCAAGTCCCCGGCGGCTGTGGGGCCTGGGCGGTAGGAAACCAGATTGTGACGTCACTAACCTCTTGACCTGATTGCAGAGATTCGAAATTTCTTCATCACGTGCGGATACGCTCGGCGGATTCCCCCCGTTTATGCTTTGTTTGTGTTTATCTGTGGAGAATTGCGTGCCAGAATGCATCAGCACTGCACCTGCACCTGCACCACGAGAACCACCAGCGACAGCAACAACAACAACAGCGATCTACAACAAGGGCTGCACAATCAGTCATAATTGAATAATTAGATGCACTGAGCACAGAAAAAATAAAGAAGAACACTGCCATCTGGAAATTGAAACGCGGCAAGCAAAAGACAATCGAGGCGAGTAAACATTGGGCTGCAGCGATCGATATCGATGGGTTCGTCCATGTCATCGTTCAAATGTACATGCATATAGGCATATAGGCATTTATGGGCGCGTAGTACATAAATGTGTGTGAGCATATGCTTCACACTCGCGCTCACTCGCACACACTCGCACACACTCGCACACACACGGCCACAAAAGAAGAAGCAACCATCCCATGGGACTGGTTAGCTCCGCTGCCAGATCTTACTTGGAGTCGCGCTGGCTGTGCAAACGAGATGCATTTGGCTCCACAGGTATGCAGCCCCAACTGAAGCTCAGGCCCGAACCGAACTGAGACGTGTCGCTCCATTCTAAGCCAGGCGAAGCTCAAAAACAGCGACCGAACCGAACCGAATTGAGCTTGACTTGCCGACAAACAAGTTTATTGAACTTGTTGCCAGCTGTCCGGCAGAGTGATTATGAGATGCATTGAAAAACCCAAACACACAAGCTGGGAACACTCCAGCCCCAACCTCAGCCCCAGCCTAAGCCCCAGCCCCAGCACTGATCGGAGTAGAGCCATTCTTGAGGGCCTTCCCTTCCCCATTCCAGTTGCGGAAATAGTGGAAATTCGATGACTTTTTTGCTGGCTTTGGGCAGCAATTAGGTAAACGCCATCACCACCACCCACCGCCCTTCGGTCCGCCCCTTGACGAATTTTCCAATGCTCCTGCCCCTGGCCTCGCTCCATGCCCCGCTCACTTTGTAATCAATAATTGCTTCGTTTTTTCTTCGTTTCATTTGCGAGGCGAGGGCAGGTCCAAGAGTTTGCGAAGCTCGTTGAAAGCCTCGCAATTGGCATCCAACTGGCTCCAAAGTATCTGGATAATTGTTCACTCAATACTATTCACTGGTTCACGACTGTCGTCGGCTCTCGACTCTCGGCTGGGCATTGGTTCTGGTTATGGCCAGGCCGTACTTGCACTGGCCAACATAATGTTGGGCTAAGGAATGTGCATATGAGAATGTAAACTGTTAATTAATTATTTAATGAACTGACGACAAAATGAGTAAATTTTGTTATTGGCTAGCTCAACTCATTGGGAATGGCAACAATGTAGGCTAGTAAATGAAACGATGGCTAATAAATTAAACACTCTCTCATATGTACATATGTATGTGATTACGAGTGAGCTCCATTGTTTTCCCTATATATGTACAATGCAATAAACTATCTTACGAACTACAATTCAGTTCACTTTCGACAAAAAGTAAATTAACAAAAATCAATAAATCGTTTTAGTTCGTTTTAAAAAAAATTAAAATACAGACAGCTATACTATATATGCACCTGAGACCGAAATACATCCATATATGCATCATGAATAATTACGAATATTTCGGGGAACGGAGATTAGTTTTGAAAAGAGTAAGAGCAATGAGGTTTTTTAGACTAAAAAAACAGATGATAATCGATTAAAGGAATGTTATGTAAGTAATGTTATGTATTTAATGAAATATCGATGCGTTCCGACTTACCAAGAGATGACTTCTGTTATGCACATGGGAAGCGAGGACATGAAAACAGAATGACGAGAGGAATAATGTTTTATAATGAAGTAAGATTATATAGATTATAAGACTATAAGCAGATCGACCCCCGAAAATAATGAAAGAATATTGGACAACACTTTATAGAGGAACTGTTGGAACGCTTGGGTTGGGTCTTGAGCTTGTGGAAACCGTGTTGCATGGTGCCGTCTAACGCAGTTGTCTGTCGAGTTGGATTTGCTTGCTTGCACCGACCAAACAAGCCCAAACAAGACAATACAAAGCGAAATAAAAATAAATACATGGATAATAATGCTCAAACTCGAAGTGGCAGGCGCCCCCAAGACCAACACCATTGGCAGAGGTAGCATTGGTAGCATTGGTGGCAAGTCGGGTCTGTGGAATGTGGAGGCGAAGCGTCGTGGGGGCAGTGGGAGAATGAATGCAACCACCGCCGAGGGGGGGATCGCTCGGCACTTTGGACTGCAGCAGTTTTGATGATAGACGATAGGCGAAAAGATCCCCCGTGCCGGATGATTGGGAAGAGCCATAGCCCAAAATGTTAATGGATCCGTCAGCGCGAATCGAACAAATTCCTTTTCATTATTCCAGCGAAAATCCCATTTCGGAAATACCGAACGCCAAATGAGCATATTAATCGTATATGGGCAGCGTATTTATAGATCTGGGCTTGGGGTAGAGTGCGGGTCTGCCTCTAGGCATGGTTGAGGGTCTGGGATTTGCGTTTCCAAGGAATCCGGGAATCCCATGCCGCCGCTTTCATTCACCGACTGCCGAGCGACGGTCAAACATGCCCAAACATGCCCCGTGAATCTCTGAATCGCTTTGTGTTTGACAAAAAATAGGGGAGAGCGAGCGATGATCGGCAAGTGAAAATGCATTCATCATGACTAGACATTTCTGTGGTAGTTAAATTTAAGCTTATAGTGCTTTAAGTATTTTAATGTCTTTAATTGGTATCAGACGTGATAAGACGTGTCCGAGCCGCAAAAATCAATCATATATCGAGGAGGTGGCTTATAACGGGGAGGAACGGACATGTGTTATCAAAACGAGCCGTATCTAGAAGAAGTCTGTACTTGTGTTGGAATCTGCAGATCACGGCATGGATCTGTCCAACTGATAATTGAAATAAATGATTGTGCTACCTCGAGTCGATCCAAATCCACGGGCCGCAATCAAGGGACATGGAGGAATGTCGGCTTTCGGAGATAATGAGCCAAGTGCGATTCAAATATCAGCAGCCAGTAGGTGGCAGGTGGCAGGTGGCAGGCGGCAGGCGGCAGGCGAGAGTACATATGTATTAAGATAGTGGATTGCCATGATTTGCTAATGGCATCAGCCATATAAATAGATGAATGTATGTTTCCGAATCTAAATCCCATTCTGAGTGTATCGTAAAGCCATCATAAATCGAAAGTTGCGATGGCCCAATAAATTCGCATAAATCATCGCTGCTGGGAGCACGCCTTAGATAAGGGCCACGCCACATGCCGGCCACTGGCACTGGAGTCCTCGACTACGATGAGTCCATTAAAGTTGCAATTGTTGAAAAGCCTCCAACAGTACGTCCCTATGCTAGTCCCCGCCCCCACCCTAGAGCAGTGGACAAGAGACATTTGATTGATCGATTCGATCGATCCATTGATCTGTCCGATGTCTGTAATCTGTAATCTGCAATCTGTAGTGACAAAACATTTAGATAATGGGCCGGAAAACTATGTCAACCCTGGACACATGTCGACACAAAAGCTAATAAGGAAACAAACATTTGAAACCAGTAGAAACTAGCTGTCCTTATAGGACAGCGCGTGGAAACGCCATGCTCTGCTGCTTGGGGGTCGGCATCCTGGATGGATGCCCTGAATGTCCCTGAATTGAGCTGTTTACAGTTTGTCGACTCACCTGTTGCGTGGGTACTCGTTGCGTGGCTGCCAAATAGTAAGACGAACAGGCCCAGCAAAAGGCCGAAGTTTTTCACCATTATTAAAGCTTACAGCAGATCTTGAAGCCAAATTCAAAAAACAAACGAAACGGGAAAAAAAATCGTAGGCGGGAGGCGATCTCGAATTTGTTTGAATTTTGTTTGCATTTATTTGAAGCTTCCTCTCGGATTTGTGCTGACACTCGATTGGCTTGGCATACACGGCGTATGCGCAACGTGCGGACTTCGAATTCCGGCTATTTCGATTCGATTGTACGCTTCCCGGTGGTTCCTCCAGCAAACCGCTTGGCTGGAATTATATCGCACAACTAATTAAGAGCGACCAGCGCGCGCCCGTCTTAATAATAAACTGCGACGTCGACGCCAGCGCCGGCGGACACAGCAGTGGCAGTGGCAGCGTCAACTGGCAGCGTCGACTGGCAACCGGCTAGCGACTGCGCCAACGCCAGCGACAGCGCCAGCGCCAGCGTCGCTTCGTATTGACGGTTTTATAAAGATATCTTCTCTAGTAAGTCTAGTCACCTCAAGTCAGTCACTTCACGTTGTCGGTTTTATTATATTTTTTATTTCGCCTCCACAATGCTTCGTGCTTAATTCTGCCCGTTTTCCCTACCCTGATTCATGTGTGCTTTTTTTCTTCTTTTAACTGCGACTCGCGTGCATGTGTAGGGTACAGAAAGAAAGGGTGTTTGGGAAAGGGGATTCTCAAGATTCTTAGATAGATACAGCAGCAGCGCGATTCGGCTAGGGGGATTCCCGCACCATTCTGGGCATCGTCCTTAGCATTGCTCATGCTCTGCCCCAATCGAAGCGTACTGGGCTATACCTGAGCTCTGCCGATCTACACTTTCAGATGCGATCGCTACTATACATTATACTTCTGAAGATACATACATTATGAAGATATGCACATACATATTATTATTATCTGGGAGGAGTTGCGGGTCTTTACTTATACATCTTCCATTCTTGGGCAGTACATTTGACGGGTATCGGTATCCGACAGTCGAGCTTTTCGGCTCAAGTTTCTGCCCAAATAGGTACGTCCGTGTGTGTGTAATGGACGTGTGTGTGTGTGTGGGTACGCCTTCCCTTTCCATCTGTGCGTGGAGTCATTAATTGATAAGGAAGCAAAAAAAAAAAAAACAATTGCCTGACATTTTATCAATCTATTGGCAGTAGTCACTAACCGAGCTACGCAAGTACCCGTACATATGGATGTATTCGATTGATGTCCGTATGATAGTGTTCAATGACATATTGAATATCGGTTTCCTTATATGTATGTACATACACACGCATTCACACACACTTATGTATGTACGCATGTGTTAAAAGTCAGTATGTCAGCTTTCATACAGTGCACGATGGGCCCAAAAACCTCTTTTCGTGGCCAAAAGCCATTTTTTAAAAGACCTTAAAGTAGCCGCCATACATATGTCAGAAAAGCATTGATCGCACACAACAAAAAATGCAACAGAGCCCACAGTTAGCTTATCAGCTTATGTTAGCTGTTCTTCAAGTGTTTAGAAAGTATAAGATTAAGGAATTTGAGTGCAATTAAGTGCAGTCACATCAGAGTGGTCTTTATATTTTGTATAAAATAAATCTATAAAATGAGTCAGAGCTAAATGATTCCAGCCATAATATTTAATGCATGTCATATTAAATTCCACTGTAGACCGCCCTTTTGAAATTCAACTTTTTGTCCAAAGGGGTTCCTAAAATATATAGGTAAAAGCTTTTACAGCTTTTTTTCAACAAATACTCCCAAGAGTTCTAGAACACAATGAAAACCGCTGCAGATGTCTTACGTCTAATGGCATTCATGGCATTGATCCTTTTGATCCGGGAATCGATCAAATTAATAAAAAACACCAATATTGTGCAGGTTGGGAGCACACCAAAAGTAATATGCATACAGTAGCGGATTTCGAAGGATGTGGCCACTGATGTTAACTCAATTTAAGCCGATGGTGCGCTTTCCAAATCTTAAAAGTCAGTCGGAAAACGTTCCTTAACTGTTTTGGCCAGAAGTTGAAACAAAAACAGTCAGATAACATGATTTTTGGGACTTTTGGCACAAAAGTTTGAAAAATTAAGTCTTCTTAAAACAATTGTATAAAGAATTTGGAAAAATGGCGGTACGGTAAGGCTAGCACCCGCCTCGGGAACTATGAAAAAGACCATCCCAAAGGAACATCAAAGTAGGATCGTGTTCTTTAACGCTTGATATTAGAAAGGAGCTTATTCAGCCGGTAGACAGGTTGATATTGACAGCAAAACTTTAGGGTGGCGTCTTTAGGAGGGAGGTCTTAACCAACGTCGGCCAGCAAAACTCTCCCTTTTGAGACTAAAAGTGCTCCAGAATAGGGGCCAATGGTGCAAACTCAACGAAACTTGAACTTTAAATGATTGGAGAAACGTTATGTTTTTAATGGCTCTAAGATAAACGGGGTTGGTTGGGAAACTATGTCGAATGATGGCCGGAAAGTCGGAGAACGCTATAAAAAGTAGCGCCTGAAACGAATGGTGTGGCAAGGAGGCAGTATGATGGTCTGAGATGATTTTCTTGAAAAGCAAACTAATTTAATAGCAGAAGTACCTCGACCAAGGGCTTACCCAGGATTTCCCAAAGGGGCCTGTATCTCTTAAGCTGGGTTGCCACCGATTCGATACCAAAGAAACCATACTAGAGCACTTTATACCTCTACCACTGCATGCTTTTTCCAAAAGGTATATATTGCTGGTCTCCCTCTCTTCGCTTGAAATGTAGTGCTACTTAAATGATAAGTACTACTGTATTCAATGAAGAAGATTTTAATTACCGTTCAGGCATGAGTCAGTAGTAGTTCTTGGCCTGAGTAACGATCCCACAGTAGCTGGGATACCTGGCAGAGCTAGCAGAATTTCTAGAGTCTGGTATGGCACCACACCCATCAAAATCTAGACCAACGCACTTGGCAGAATCAAGATCCTTTTCAATTAAATATTCTTTAGTATTTGGGGCTATAGTTTCTTCATTCAAAGCATGCAAGTACAAGGTCTGCCAAGGTCTTCTTCAACACCCAATTTCTCTTATGCGATTCTTATGGTTTGGGGTTATTTAAGAGATTTTTTTAAAGAGGTAATGGAAAGGCAAGGGACGGATTATGCTTGTTGATGGCAATGATATTCTGGAGGGCAAATTTTTTCGACAAAAAGTCGTTATTGGTCCCATAGTGCAGTGGGGCTCCCAACAGATGATAATGGTTACGTCGAGTCTCATCTATCAGGTTTTATTATCAAGGAGCACTCAAAGACCACACACTCGTAGATCGTAGTTCTCCTGTTAAAACTCTTTGTTTCTTTGTCGTTTCATAATCAGACACTGCATATGATCTGTTTGCCATTGAAAGGGGCTGTAAGACCTTCGAAGTAATATCAACATTCAAACTGATTTTATTATTAAACTACGAGGCTTCTCTAAGACTGGACAAGACATTATGTATCGCTGAACCAACGATGAGCCTCTTTTGGTAATTAACTGCAAGGCATACATAATGGGATATGGGAACTCCAAGTTGTCAGAAGTCATGCCAACATCTCTTAACTAAAACAGGACAAACCACACAACAACAAAAAAAAAGGATGAAAGGGTCAAAATATGTGAACAGGACAGAAAAACGGGAACATTTTTTTTTGTTTATTTATCCTCTTTTATTTCTCTCATTTCTTGTCTGGTAGTCTATAAATATGGCACATCTAATGAAATTACAAATTTTCATGTAATGTAATTTTAGGGGAGCATGGAATTACGAGATTCTATTTATTTAAATTTGATTGGCCTGAGCACGAATTCAATCAAAGGCTAAAAATGGCTAAAAACTGACAAATCGATCCTAAAACAGGATCGATTTCCGGATAGGGGTTAAAAGGACAGAGCAATCCGGAAAAGGCATCACTGATTGTCAGAGACTCTAAGAGCAAGATCCACCAAATTTCAGACTTCTGTGATATCGCACTGAAGCAGGTGTGTTTTGAAATTGTTCCACGCCCCGTCCTACTCCCTCAAAAGGCGATAATCTGAGTTTTGAACAATTTTGAAGATACAATAAAACCGAAAACGCAGAGATCTATTATCTACCAGATTGCTGAACTTAGATAAGATCGTATTACTGCTTTAATCAGAATTTTCTTGAATGACTGTTCTGCCCTGCTCTCGCCTTAACATCTTCCTCTTGCGGTGTGCGCCCCGCCCCTTGCCACTTCTATCGACCGGATAGAAAAGTGTCACGACTGGTTTAAGGAGCAGGCTGGTCGCTTATCGGAGTAGGTTGGATCTGAGCTCTATATCGCAGCAGCTATAGCTGCCATGGGAATGATCGATTAAACAAACGTTTTTATGATAAAACATTTCATACCAACGGTACTCGAAGGGTACAGGGGTATATTCGATTTCTGGTGAAAGTGGATGTGTGTAACACCCAGAAGAAAGCATTTACGACCCCATAAAGTATATATATTCTTGATCAGCATCAATAGCCAAGTCGATACAGCTATGTCTCTCTGTTCGTCCGTCTGTCCATCTCATTTGACGCCTAGTTCTCAGCGACTATAGGAGCTGGAGCAACCAAATTTTTTGTTCCACTGTTACAAGACGAAAATCAGTGGCCAGACTGCCGAATCTGGATCTGGAGCTGGAGCAGATCGGAACATTATTATAGCCAGAAGGAACAAACAGTGGCTACGCAACGCCTTCGACGCGATTGCCTATTCTCTCTCCCTCCCTCTCACACACTCTTCGTCGTGCAGTGTGTGCCCTCTGGCGAGTTTAAGCGGCTGATGTTGGTGTGAGAGTAGAAAAAAAAGCGACAGACTTTTCGGAGTTGGGTCAATTTTTTATTTCAGTTCGCATTCTTTTCATACCTTTTAAGTATACTTTTCGAGCTTCTAAAAGGAACAGCTATAGCCATATAACACTTGACGTCCAGATATCCAGGCTCGCAATGATCTCTCATTCTGAAGATGCTTGGGTAGTTTTCAGGCGTAGACAGACTGTGGTGGTTTCTGTGTGCTGGCAAGAGGTAGTTGTCGTCTAATGAAGAGTGCGTGACCGACTTCGCTTCACAGTTCCATAAACCGTTCATTATTAGTGGGTAAGAACGACGATCGACTTGCAAGTGTATACAAAGATTCAGCACTCGAACCTATCAGTGCTTCTACCATAGGAACGATCGGTCAAACAAATTTTTGGGACATAATACGATTTCTTTTAGACATTTTTGAACATATCGCTGGGAAAAATTACATGTATTGCTTATATAAACATGTAACTATGTCCATATAACGCTGGACAGTCATATAAGAATTCAAGTACGTCACCAAAAAATAATCAAAGTCGGATGAAATTGCTCTTTCCTAATGTATACATACAGACTTCATATGATATGATATGTACATATGTACATGCCTCAATCTTAGTTATAATACCACGGCTTATAGAGGACGGTTCCCACAAAGGATTGTAAATAATAGCTTTTAAATTATATTTATACTAACTTGTAAAAAAGATAGTGTTCGCGGGATCGCAGTTATTTCTGTGCGTTTATCATATCGGGGCCAACGATTACCGGCCAATCAAATCAGCAGGCCCCTGAATTTGATTTTGACTGCGATTCCTGTACTTTTTTACTTTGTGATCATGACGCAGTCTGTGGCCCATTCATACGTCATGGGCGGAACAATGGCGTAGTGCTGGCATTAATTCCAAGATTTACTGATATCACTACAGTATATACATACATATGTAGGTGTGTCAATTACTCAGAGATAATTCCCCCGTGGCAGACGGACTGCACCATAAACAAGATACAGTTGCTGCCGGGGGGTTGACAATTTTGACCGCTTAATGCTCACAATGTTTATCATTTGGACTTAATGGCGGGAAGTTATGTTTTTTTATGGCTATAGTTATAGTTATACTTATGCAGCTGGGACTGTTGGACAAATGACCACCAGGCTTTCAGCTCTGAACTGGATTAGAGTTGAACTGATCAGTGGAGATGTAGCAAACCTCCTCCTACGCACCTCAAGTGCTGCTTTTACATGATGTATGTACATGCTAGTGGCCTCATAGCCAATGTCTGAGGAAAAGTTGTGATCTGCAGTTTCTGCCAAAGAATGCCGCATATTCGGCGGATCCCCTTTCCCTGTGGCTTCTTCGTCCGACGTGCTACTCGGCTACTCTGGCTCTGTGGTCATGGTTCCTTGCTTGGTCCTCTTTGTCCCCGTGGCACCGCATCAACCTTGGGTAGCCGCCGCTGGAGCAGCAGCACTCGACACAGGAGTGCTCCCCTGTAGCTGGTTTCGGAGCGATCTTCTGCTCGTCCTTAGCTTCAGGCCTAAGGTCACCTCGTTCTCTGGGGGCTAAGTAAAAAAAATATTCTATACACGTAACACAAAAGCCGATCCCTAAATTTAGGCTTAAAATGGACAAGCTATGGCTCTTCGGGTGTGAGCAGAGTCGAGAAAAACTTATCCAATGTAGACCCAAAGTACCTCTTGTGCTACCATATGGCTACCATCATATCACCACCCGCAGTAGCTGTGCATCCTCTCCGTGTGACTAACAATATTGATGGAACACCAAATGGAGAGATGGAGATGGAGCACCTTCTAATCGTTCTTAATTAGTTCTTAGCATGGGTCTAGTGCAATTGTTGGACCAATCGCCCTATTTCCCTCTGGGCCTTGTAGAAGACGCGCCAGTCAGCTACCCTCTTTTCTGGCCTTCGAGAAGACCTATCGGTCCTTATATCGCTTTCTACAGTTGGGAAGTAACCGATATAGATTTAAGGCATGGGTATCTCCGACTCTGGGAAAACCTTTGGGTTTGCTTCTTTCCAAATAAGTTTTATGAACTTAAGAACTACTACTTACCTCTGGCCATCTTACCATTGGAACATCCCCTCTGGTTGGAGTTCCACCATCCCGGCCTGAAACTGCAGCCGTAAAAGAGGGGCCTAGTAGACCCAGCTCTCTTGGCCACAATCTCATCCCAATCGGACCTCTGGATCGTGGATAGTTGATCCGTTGTCAGCAGAGACTCCGGATATCCACACCACAGGATGGCCATTTTTGAGTCTATTCGTTGGCGTGCCTGGCTACAGGCGCCATTGGTGCCTTGCTCCTGTTGTCGTGATCTTTCGCGGCTTGCTCTCCGATGGCCTCAGCACGACCCTCTTTATCTGAGTGCCTGCGGGGGTCGTTTCCATCGATTTCAGCTTGGATGGGCATCGAGCTGGGATGGGCATCCTCTTCCTATGTCCGTTTGGGCGACTCCTGTTGCTCTGTTGTTGAAGCTTCCATGGGTGGCAACGGTTCGACTTACGTCGATAAAGATTCAGTCCGGAGGCACAGAGCTCAGAGCTGCCCGAAGCAACTAACGAATAACGAATTTCGGTAATTGCACCAGCAACAGAGCCACGAGGAAGGATCATGAAGAACGAGTATCTGTACGAGAGGAAACACACACTAAGCCCCTGATCACACGTGAACCGAATATTGCCCGTCAGCAAATCAAAAAATATACCGATACCCGCCCAAGTATTGCAAAAATAAATAAATATTATAAATATAAATAAAATAATCATTCCCGTTTATTCGGTTTCTCGTTTTTGGCAAAAAATAACAATACTTCAGGCCACATCCATATGCACAGAGATACGAGTAAGTAGCGAGGAAACTCAAGTGCTGAGTGGACACGGCTATCAGGCGAGCTAAAACCAACTCAATCCAACTTTGGACATCGTAAGTGAGAGTTTGATCAAGATTTGGGCTCACTTCAGATCCAGTGGTGGCCCCACATCCGTTTCCGATAGTTGCCACTGGTGCTGTACGATCCGATAATGAAACCGATTTGGACGGGAATGCTGAGGATAGGCTGAAGGGTTTCATAAGCCAATACCCCTTAATATTCCTCGAAATTGATTTAATCTAATCTGTGCTCCCGTCAGCGCTTAGTTTAGCTTTGGCTTTGGCTTTGGCTTTGGATTTGCCTTGGACGCACCTCCAATTCGGGGACCAAATATCAGGCTCTGAACTCGCAGCCGTCAGAGACCATGCAGATTAACAGCCCACTTCTCGAGTGCATTCACATTCGCATAGAAGTACAGTTCGCTCTCGATTGGTTGCCATATTTGTAAATACATATGTACGTGGGCACGAGGAAATATTTCTGAGTCATCAGGCAATGGCAACCCTTGAGTCTGATGTTTGATTGGGGCCGGGTGGGATGGGCAGTGATGGCTCGAGTGAAATATGTCTACGGGTATCAATGGCGGCAGTGATCGTACAGCAATAGTGCATCTCCTGTCTACGTATGCGATGTACGCGTGCCGATCTATGCCACTGATCTTTGGTATCTTGCTCAAGAATTCAGACACGTGTGCCTGCTCGAAGAAAATAAAAAAAAGTCGTGTGAATAGTAACTATAAATTACAGGAACGTATAAGTTATATATATGGACGTATACAAAGCGTGAATTATCAACCTCAAAGTGAAATTCAAGTATCTTCATTCGATAGTATGGTTCCTTGATGTCATAGCACCGTTGATTGACGTCATCGATGGTGATTGGTGATTGGTGATTGGCGAGCACACGATCAACTGGAACAGATCTAGCTACATACATACTTAGGTGTACATATGTATGTCTCGGCTGCTTTGACACCAATCCCATTCAACCTCTATCGATACGGCCAAAGTGCGCTCACAGCAACCAAATCAATTAGCTTTTCCCTGCTCTTTGAGGGACATTTCGATCAGTTGCGGGGACAGAAGATAGACGAGCATTCGCCCCGACCAAATTTTGCCTCTAGATCATCTTCCGCCAATAGTCGTGCAGGGAGCGCAGCTGGCTCGAATATAATTACGATGTTTATCTGGTAAATGTTTTGTACTTACGACCAGGCCAGGAGAAGCAAACGGCACGCTGATAAGTGTTTCGAGTGGCGGCTATCGATGATGGACAGACCGGCCTAATATAATACATTATAGCTTTCTGACTTTATTCTAGCATACTGATGATTTTTTTTATTGAAAACAAATAGAAGATTGTTCACCACAGATTTTCAGAACTGTATTGAATTTACTTCGAGAATTTTTTGGTGCGAAACGATCTGAACTAGATCACAGATTTTGGTGCAGATAATTTGTGTAGGCATTGTCTTCGATGTCGCAGTGGTTCAACTTGTTCTGGGTTATCTCGATGGCAATTGCGCAGACGAGGAACAGGATATACGTGATGAGGCTCATCCAGCCCACAGGCTTGCCCAATGTAAACTTGGTCAACAGGAAGCACGCGTATAGGAGGACAACAGTAGCGACGAGCATAGCCGCTGTGATCGTGAGGCCGGTAGAATTGATCAGAATGGGCTGGCCTTTAATGAGATTTTTAAGCAACCAGGGCAGTCCCAGGCAGATGAATATGTCGAATGTGTTCGAGCCAATCGCATTGCACATGGCCATAGAGCCGTACCCTAGAGTCGTCCAAGGGATGGGGATGGGAGGGATGGGATCGAGGATTGAGGATGGATATTAGAGGTATGCCAGGTCGAAGAGTACAGACTATTCTCTTACCCTTTCTGGTCACTATATAGGAAGACACCACCTCGGGCACACTGGTGCCTACGGCCAGGACGGTCAGGCCCATGATCGAGTCTGGTATGCCAATGTTATAGCCGACCACGGTTAGGAACCAGGAGAGCAGATACGATATCCCGCTGATCCATAGCACGGCAATGAGCATAGTGAAAAAGAATATGGTCCGCACACTAGGCGTGGTAATGGCCAGTATAAAAATGGCCGGGTACTTGATCGCCCACCAGGTAACTTCAATGCAGGGCGATCCCTTCTCTGGCTTGCTGCACAAATGCTCGCGAAATGTCTTGAAAGGATCCTCCTCCCGCAACATTGGATCCTCGTCCATCAACTCCCGCTCGCCGTCCAGCGCTGCAAATCAGATAACAAAAAGGGTAGTCGTTCAAAGATCAAGGGCTCTCCGCGGCATTGCGGATTCTGATTAATCTTCTTACATCGACACAAGCGTTGCAACTTGCGATCGAAGATGAGGGTCGTCAGGTAAATAAAATACAAGATGAGCATGATGGTCGCCTCGTACCACATCACCTTCGAGTCAATGAGCACAATTCCAAGTAGGGTTATGGAGGCCAAGTACCACATTGAATCCCTCGAAATAGGCCACCAGTCCAGCTTGGCCGTCTACAAGCGAAATACAGGGAAGAGCAGGGACATGGATGAAGGTCTGCCGAAGCGCACGACCATTCCGAGCTGAGCAATACGTACCACGCCAGTAAAAATTCCGCAGACGGTAGCAATACCCAGCACATTGAACACCGAAGATCCCACAATGGTGCCCACCCCAATGTCGCCCTCCGTGATGAATGTGCCGATAAAGGCGACGAAGAGCTCTGGGGCTGAGGTGGCCGCTGCCAGGAAAGTGGCACCAGCCACATCGTAGGTCATGCGAAGAGCTATCAATTAAAATATGTGTGAAATTGTGATGAGTCGAAGAGTATACGACTGACTATTGAACAGGATTAAAGACTAGGAAGCCAAGCTGTGCGATGGTTCAGTCCACACTCTGCTTTTAGGAATCTGCGGAGGGCATTATCCCAGTCTCTGCGAGCTGATTCAATAGTCAGAGGACAAGAGGAAACCCTAATGATCTTACTGTAACACAGTCGCTCCATCGATGGCACGAGATAATCATCACACACAATTGCCAGAAGGATGAACAGATACATGCTTATGAGGAAACACGCCAGCGCCACAGCGATGCTCTTCTTTCGCATCATGTTGGGAAAGTCCAGAATAGCGGGAAGAGTGCAATTTAGCTCAGCTTCACCGCGGAGATCGCTGCGGTCTATGGACACAACGAAAATCAGTAAATATCTATCGAGATCGCACCACCGCATACCAAAGCCGCTCTCCCTGAGTAACCGCTGAAAGTCAGCGTCTCCACCGAAAAACATATTGCACCCGGAAAACGAAAATTATTATATAAACTATACTTCAAACAGATAAACACGACGAAAAGAATTTTAATACAAAAACCAAATGTACTTCACACAAGCCGGATCACAACTGACTGAGAAAACAACATACAATCTACCCGAACCAGGCAAATTTTTTCTCAAAGCCTTCTCTGATTAGGATCTTTTGAACCTGGAAGTTCCTTGAGTTTCTTATTCAAATTACATACAATCACAGCAACATTTGATATTTCACTCAAATGCCTCCCTCGGAGAGCAAGCTGAATGCTACAGCTATGGCTGCTTTATGCTCCCTTCGAAAGTGCCAGAACACAAACTAGGATATTGTATATCCGTGTAGGTATATATGGTCTGTAGCTCATATAAAAACTGGAAAAGTCCTGAGCTTTTCAGTCCCAGAGTGGTTATAGGCTATATACATATATTAAATCGGAAACGCAACAGTGGGAAATCGCAATTTAAGTAGGCCCTTCCAGGGCTGTCAAACCCAGAAATACCCTAATCTTACCGCCAAGGCCGCAGTTCAGTTGGACATCGAAACATTGTGAATCAATCCACTGAAGACGAACGAGAAATCGAATATCTTGTTTGTTGCTTGTGAATAGCGAAACATCAGTATCGAAGCATCTTATTGCAAATGACTTCATTCGCTGCTACAAAGAAGAAACCGACTACTTCAACCGGGTACAGCTACAGAGAAGGATTGAGATCGAATGTGGGAGAACGGGCATCCGAGCGAGTGAGACTAAGCCTCCACAGGCGTAGAGGGAGATGATTATGGTAGAAGTTCAGCAACGGCAACGGAAGAGCAACAAATATTGCAATTTTAAACTTATATGAAAGGATTGCGTGGTTTTATTCCGTTCCTCATTGCTTATCCGTGCAATCACTATGTCAGCGACACAGCGACACAGCGAGACCTGACATATGTACATAGAACAGCCAGAAGGGGCGTACACCAGCCCATGAGGATCTCTCGCTAACTCTCTTTGGGGTCTTTTTTACCGCTTCCCACCACTGAGAGCGCTTTGACACCATGCTTGATGGGAGAGGAAAGAAGACCCAAAATAAGACCCGAAGAGAGAGCGCGTAGCGAAAGCGGACCACCTTGTATAATGTCACCATGCACCAGCCTCTGTAACCTCTGTAATTAATAAAAACCAAAACCAGGCAGGAGGACATGCAGACACCGGACTATACAAAATATATGTACAATTTTATGCGCTTGTGCCTTAATGGGTACGTGTATGTACATATTTATGGGTATATTCTAGAGAGAAGTCCAAATGCTATAGTTTCTTTGTTAAATCTCATATATTAATCATAAAAATACATTATTGAATTTGTTGGGTTTTTTTGGTTGGGTTTCTTTCATCTCTTGTCTTTTTGTTTTTCATTTGTTTTTCATTGCCTTTTTGCTCACTTGATCCCTGCGACTGCGACTGCGCTGCAACTGGGACTGCGACTGCGACTGCGACCGAATGTCGTGAAAGAGTCTACTTTAATAATAATAATAATAAAAAAAAAAGTATTATTACAATAACAGCATAACGTATAACGTATAACGTAACTCAACTATCAAGGTAGATAGAATAGAACAGAAAATACATATTAATTAATTAAACGACTGCACTCATAGTTGATTCCAGCCAGCTCCCAGAATCTGAATCGGAATTTGAATCAGAGCTAGATTCTGATAGTTCAGAACCTGAACCTGAAGCAGGGCCAGAACTACAATCAGCATCAGTATCCGGTAAAGGGTATCCATCCATCCATTCATCCATGCTTCCATTCCATTCCATTCCATCCATCCATTCATCCAGCTGTGCAAGATCATGACCGTCCGCAGGTGGGTAGATTGACGCGGAAGAACACATTTAGTTCGATGAGTGAGGCAAAGACCATAAAGACCAGATACATGACTAGGCACGCGGTGCCCACCTTCTTGTCCAGCTTGAATTTATTCGTGGAGAATGTCAAATAGAGGAGAAATAGTGTGGACAGAAGTGTGATCGCCGAATACTCCAGTCCGGCCGAGTTGATGGCCACATAGTTCTGGCCCGGCTGAATGGGAAAGAAAACCGCCTTGATCAGCCAAGGCACGCCCAGGCACAGAAGAATATCGAATGTGTTCGATCCAATCGAGTTGCAAATACCCATTGATCCATGACCTGTAAGGCAATTCACAACCCTATCAATGATTGTACGTTCTACACCTCAACCCAAACAGTTGAAAACTCACCGCGTTTGGCAACAATCACACTGGACACGGCCTCTGGCACGCTGGTGCCCGCTGCTAGGAACGTGATCCCCATCACCGAATCAGGTATCTTAAGTGTGTCGCCTGTGGAAGCAAATGGAAAAAATATAGAAATTTACTCAGATTCTACCAACGAAATGGGCCAATTTTGGATAAAGGAAGAAAAGTGAGCCATTTTTAAAGGACTAGAGGTTTGTGTACTAAAAGATTATCGAATACGTGAGAAATTACGAATGTGCGACCATTTTTTTGTGCTTTGACGGCCTCGGACGGGTTAAGTATGTAGGTCCCATGACCACATTTGGGATTTTAATACACCTTAAAACAAAACAGTGCCGACATCCGAACATCAGCTACTAGTCATGAAAATTGTCCAAAGAATGACAAAGGTTTTCTGAATTTCTGAAAAACCTGTCCTAATTCTTCAAATCATTAAAGATTACAAAATATTGCATGAAGTTCGGAATAGTATTATTCAACAATCTGTACATCATTAGAAACAATTTTAGTGATGCATACCCGTATTAAAAAAAGTGCACACTGTCAGAAAGAGACTAGAAAAATGTTGTTGAACAATTTGGAGAAGGTCTATTAGATGTTGTTTAAAATTGAAAGTATTTGGAAACTGGAAACTGCTTGGATCGAATTTATGAAATCAGATATATGGGTGGATGCTAGGAGTCAAGGAAGGGTTGGTTATGTTTGTGAAAGTCGGGCAATATTAGAGGAACTAAAGTGTATTTCCAAAGCTTACCAATAATGGTAATCATCCACGCCACCACGTAGGAAAGGGATCCAATCCATACAATGCACATGATGAAGGTCAATGGGAAGATCTTGTTGTTCTTGGCCTTCTTGCAGTCGGGAATGGCGACTCGGAAGAGCAGATGTATGGGCCAAATGATGAGCCAGGTGAACTGAGCAAAGCAGCTCTTGTCTTTCGGGTACGTCAGCAGGGAGTAGCCCTCCTGCTCGGGGGGAGCAACCACTGGCTGGGCTTCGGCCTCGGCATTATCCAGGGGTGACATGTCGGCTATGACCCCGCCTTGGGAGACACCTCCTCCACCGCTGCCGCTGCTGCCGCCTGTTGTGGCTGCGACTGCAGGTGCTGTTGTGATCGATGTTGTGGTTGTGGTTGTGGTGGTGGCTATGGTTGCCGTTGAGGTCTTGGCCTGGTCATTGTTCAAGCCCCCGTTCAGCTGGATGCTGGCCATATTCTGGCAGATGCGGTTCTCCACGAGGTCTGCGAGAGGTGGAATGAGCTATTAGATGGGGCCATTATCTTAAGCTTAGGGTGGGATGGAAAAGGTGTCGAGAGGGTGCTGGGTAGTGTTGTAGATCTATGGTGTACCTGGTTCCTTCTCATTGCTGTTCTTTGTGTGGATGCTGCAGTTGGAGGACCGGCTGCGCGTGCGCGCCTGCTTTACGCCACCTGTGTGTTAGAGGTTTGTACTTGTTTGTAGGTAGGTATGTCTTTGTTTCTCAATCAGGCATTGCTTCATTGGATGGAATGGTCTGGGGCTGGGGCTGGTCACCGAAGATTCACCTACTCAGTGTCGTCCCCAGTGGTCGCTGTAGTACGGCGGATTTCGGTCTTTCCGATTGAATTTCAAGCCTCGACCAACTAAATGCACTCTTCTAACTAACCCGCCACAATAAATATATTACTATGTCTAGGTCCATATTTATATCCTTGTTAAAGTTCAGTATTCACCCACACATAAACGATTCCAAATCAAAACAAACCCAGGAAGCAATACATCCTTCGAAATCTTTCAAAAATACTAGCACTCGTATGTCACGGGTAAGATCTGCTCAACCATTTACATATCTGTACATACTCGTTCTCTTAGGTGTATCGTTGACATAATGCATACATACATATAGAAGATATTTTACTGAGTCATGTGGATAGCTTCATTAGCAGACAAGTGCTTCTACCTTTTGAACGGGTTCGTTACGGCTTACAGTGTTTTTCTTAAAGGTGTACACGACGCATTAAGACCAATTCTTATATGGCCGATCGTTGGTATCTACGACAGACTGAATAATACTCTCAAAGAGCTCCCAAAGAGCGATTCATCGTCCGTCACTCCGGCAGGACCAGTAAACGATCAAATAACTGAGTTCTTCCACTGTCCCGTCCCATTACAATCTCCCTAGCTCCCTCTATAATTGTACATATGTATGTATCTTGGAACAGAATAACAGAGTGTATTATGACGGTAAAAGGTAAGTGTGGGTACTCACCTTTGGCACACCTTTGGAACGTTTTGTCGAAATACATGACCGCCAGGTAGACGGCGTAGAGGGAGACAAGAATGAGGGCCTCGTACCACTCGACCCGCTCGTCGTGCATCACGCAGATGAGGATGGCGACGGTAACGCCGTAGGCGATGCTGTCCCGTGTCAGCGGCCACCAGTCCAGCGGTATGGTCTGTAAACAAAGCGATCACTTGGACTAGACCAATAGGGAATACGTTCTGGGGTATACTTGCCATGCCGGCTCCGATGCCGCAGCAGGCGGCCACGGCTAGGATGTTGAAGACAGCCGATCCCACGATGGTGCCCACTCCGATGTCGCCCTCTGTGATGAAGGTGCCTATCACGTTGACGAACAGCTCCGGGGCGGAAGTGGCCGCGGCCATGAACGTGGCCCCCGCCACATCGTTGGACATGTTGAGGGCTAGATCGAATTCGGTTGTGGATCGGGTCAAGGCCTGAGTGGGAATGGACTGCACTGCGTTCGGCCCGTCGGCACTCACCTGCACATA